TTATAATAGAATTGAAATATCACAAAACTAATTGAAATGTTAGCTGAAAATATGTAACATTTAAATTAAAATAGAAGTTATATAAAGGAAAGTGAATTAAAAATATATATATACACAAAGATATATCCAGTATTCAGAACACCAAAAATTTGTCATGATACTGGTCTCATCATCTGCTGCATATTATAAGTGGGCACTTTCGTAGTAACTAACATAATGTATGACATACTGTATTTTGTTATTTTGTGACTGTCTATTGTTAGGCTTTTGTTTTGTTTTTTTCATTTTCCCCTAAGTTTGATACCAATTTAATCATGATAAAGCAGTAACTATTGCTTCCTTTGTATCTTTAAAAGTGGATATTTGAAAGAATCTTGTTCAGGGTTTTTAAAAAATATGGATGTGAAGTATATGATTCATACATTCATATGTTTTCTACTGAACAATTAAGTTAAAAATTTAAATATTTATCAAAATAGTATGTATACCAACATGAGCAACACCATCTGCAGATATAGACAGATGTAAAACACATGTACTGTTACTTACGAAACTCTGATGCAGTCGTTAAGAACAAAATGAGAATTATGAGAAAATCTGTAACAATTTCATCATCTAAATAACTATTCCTTGAAATATTTTCATATTTTTAATCATGTTTTAAAATTCCAAGTAATTAATTTGGTACTATGTGGAGATTTGGGATAGACATGTATTTTAATAAGATGCGACGCTTGCTTAGTTTTACTTTGTGTACCTGCTTAGCAGTTGGTACTCAACATTTTCATTTGTTAGTGTGCTACACAATTTACATTTTCAGTACTCTAAATTACTACACTAGAGGGGAGTATCTTTCATTTTCATTTTGTTACATATACATATATTTAAAAGTCTAAAAGCACATTCATATTTTTACACTAGCACTAGAATTCTTTGCTCTTTTGGAGCTTGAGCATTGTTTAGTGGCAATGTCATGTATCTGTATATTCCATTGGTTCTCATTTCATGGTTTATACAATTTTTAAACTATATTAAGACAGCTGTAGACAGTGTCCTTCAGGTTGACTTTCTATGTCTTAATAGTGAGTCACCAGCATTTCTCTTCAGGCATTATGGAAATATCACCTTAGCCATCTGAGAACACAGTGAACAGTCACAGAAGTACTTGTGATTAAGACATGTAAAACAATATAATTAAAAAGAACAACAAACAGTATAATTTAAAAGTTAGGCTGCGTATTTTGGATGAAATAAAACCACACTACTTTGTAATGAAAGATTTAACTAAGTCCTTATTGATTTATGCTATCATGTGCTAAATGAGTTTTAACTTTTTATATCAGTAAGTTGCTTTTGCTTCTGCTGGCTTATTAAGAGATTTTTGAGAAATTCAAGTTTTTATGTAATGAATTTTTCATTCAGCTGTAGTTGGAAAGGGGAATGTAGGTTTATTATAGAAATGGTATTGCTTATTAGAGAGCATATTTGCTTGTATTTCCCTGTAGTGAAAACAGCAGCATGAGAAACTGAGTGGGAGCATTGGATTAAGCTCCTTACGTGTGGAGTAGCAAATCATGAAGAGTTCTTCAAGTAACTCTACTTAGGGAAATTAGGGTGGCTAGTAGGTTTGACATTATAGCTTTAGTATAAATCAAAGTTTATAGCTTTTGAGTGAAAAGACTTTCAAAGAAATACAAACATTCTGCCTTTGATGTTGCAAACCCATTGAAATAAGTGCCTTAACGTATTTATTTCTAAATTGATTTCATTTTAAAAAGATAATATTCTTTCATTTACATTTCTTTCTGTTCCATATGAAAAATTTTATAACCTTTTAATTAATTAGCATAAAGAATCATCACTAGGCCTTTTTATTATTAACTTTAATAATTAAGCAAGTATTTGTTCAAAGTAGACATGGCAAAAACAAAAAAGTTGAGATGGCATTTCTGGCATGCTAAATTCACTTGTTTAGCTCCTTAAATGCCAGAAAAAAACAACTCAAGAAATAAAACTTAACTTGATAAGGAACATGACCATTGACTCTCTTCTGGTTTATATTTTTTCCAGCTCCGATATCTATATCTTGGTGCTTTTTGTTAGGCTGGTAGAACCTGTTTTACAGTCTTAGGGAGCATGTATTATATTTCAACATTAACTGTTTTAGCATTACTTTTTCTTTTTTTTTTAAGTATTACTTTTTACCAAGAAAGACATCTTTTTTCAGAAACTAAATCATCAGTAGTTTCAGTGTTCTGTTGCGCTATTCTGCACAGGTTCAGATTGGCTAGAGGAAAAGCAGAAATGAAAGTCAAAATATGTAACAAATTGTAGCTAGAAAGTATGTTTAAAAGAAAGAATAAAAGAGATGATTAATTTCCTGAAGGGCATTATGAACAGTCATCGATCGTATCATCCCTCCATCTTACGCCATGACTGGAGTGAGCATCCAATAAATGAGTTGAATTGAAGTATTATCTTAGTGTAAAATTTAAATTCAAAAGCTTGACTGAATTTCTGAAAGAAAATAGAAATTATTTGCTTTTGGGATTGGTTATTTTGGCTCTTTATTTTTGAAATGTTAAAATATTTTGGTGCCTTTTGTTTTGCCTTTTTATAAAATTGGTGGGATATGTCAAACCTGTGTATAAGTCAATTTTTAATAAATTATTTTAAAGTCACAAATCTCAAATGGCATATATTATGAATTCTATATAATTAAGAACCTTTTTCAAAACTGCTTCTTGATTCATAGCTCAGTATACTTTCTATTTGCCCAACTTGTTAAGTCTCCTTGGTCCCAATATGTGTGAGTTACAGCCCTGAAAATACAAGTGATACTTGTTAACTTTCAAATATTTAGGGTTAATACTTTAAATAAAATTATAGGGAAAATACAAAAAGAGTACATTTGACTTAACTGTTTTCTGACCATCAAGGTTTTTAAACAGTGCTAAAAGGTTTTTAGAATCCTATTTGCTAAATGTAACATGAAGGCAACTTAATTT